AGCCATCCATACAGGATGCACATATGCCAACAAAAGACTGATCAATTGCAGTTATAAACAACAATGAGAAGATACAAGCAAATAACACCAAGTGAATTTTTACACTTAGCAGTTTAAAAAAACCTTTGATAAAACTGGTTTATCTGATATACAATCACACATATATATCTATATACCCATCAATTCTAACTTGTATATTACTTCCGGTTTTGACAATATTGTTTTTCTAAAATTATTTATTTCCCTCTTAGTTCACTGATCTATATTTCAACAAACATTTCCAAGAACTATTATATATATATCTCCTGATCATTTGAAATAAATGTGTTATTAGGAGGCATTGTTCGTTCACACACACACATACACACAAAGAAAAGAAAACAGAATTAAAGCCATTAACTTCACTAAAATGATGAGATCATGTGTTTAACACAAATTTTATGCATTTATGCAGATTAAGTAGTATAACGTGATAATTTTTCTTTTCATGAAGTCAATGCAAATAAATTATCACCGATAACTGGATAGTAATCAAAATAACTAAGCATAAATTCAAGATCATAAATGAAAGGAAACTAATAATAAATAAAAATAAATTATGAACGAAAATTTATCGGGGATTATATGGGCTTTATGAAGGTTTTTTTTATATTATGATTTATTTATTGGTACTAGGAGGCACCAAACAGATATGTGTCACATAAATCAAATGATTTATGTGAGGGCTGAGATACTACCCGTGTGACCAAACCGAAGTAGGTGGTTTTCTTAGGAGGCTACACCCGGAGCTTTTGACATAAAGGTCTGATCTACAAGGCAGTTGAGCAAAGTCAGGAGATATTGTCCAAGGGTAGCTGGTGGCAAACAATTGGTTCATACGCCATTTATTTCCTTATGATCCTAGAGCCCATGTACACCATTGGTTTGGGATGAGGGTTTTCGAACTCCACTTGGTGGACTCTCCGTGTTCATCAACCCGGTTGAAGAGCCGGACATTCGCTTTTCGTCCTCTTAATTTCGTAAACAACCCCCACGTCACGAGTAGGCAGTGAGTAGGACTTCCCTGGCAGTGGTTATTTACACGTGGCCACTTGAGAGCATTTGGAGAGGGAGAGATGACTCTCTCCACTTTTGGACGTACCAGGGCATTTGGGGGGTTATGTTATGTTGGCAAATTATGTCATCTGAAAATCTACAAAAACTAATAAAGCACAAAACAGTTATGTTGTCCGAATTTTAAATTCCATAACAATTCTACAATTAATAATGTTTCATTGGATCCATATCAGAAACATCATGTCATGGTTACGAATCCAATCGGTCAGTTAGTCAAAATGAAACCTAACAAATACTTACACCAGTTCATATTGCTGAAGGGTAAGATAATTTTAAATATCAAAATCTAATGCGAAACAAATTTTGAATCCATCTATCGTTCAAAGTTGTAAACTAATAGTCACGATGATCTGGAAGACCCAAATCACATAGTTTACATCTGCCAAGACAGACCAGCCCAACAACCAGTCACTTTGCGGACTGACGTTACATTTTAGCTGGTTGTCTCGAACTCTAATTCAACTTATTCCTATATCGAATAACATCGGTTATCCAGCTCACAGAGAACAGAATCTCCGTTGATCCTTCTTTCATGAAATGAATATCGGTTCACGTAAAATTTAGAAACCCCATTATGTACTTTGTAAAAAAGTAATTAGACTAGTTATTATACAGTAATCAGTCATTCTTATCACCTAACGTAAAAACAAGCCGTGTAATGGGTACACATTGTTGATGAGTCCCATATTAGGACAAAATAAGTGTCTTGTGCTCAGTGGTATCTCAGAGAGTTTCTACCAGCGACAAAAACCGTGTACGAACTAATCTATTTGAACAAATGTGACCTACCTGCAGTGTAAAACGAGACTAATCACGTGACAGACGAGTTATTCTTATCCTAATTATTATTTTGTACACCACATATTTGTTCTTAGTAATTCGTTTAATCCCTCTGTACTCATTCTCGTATAGTTAATTATTAGCATTTATCTAGACAAATTGTTGAATATATTTTTCGTTTTTCAGTGTTTGATCGTGTCTGTATATTTTGTCTACTGTCTGTTCTTTATACATGTATTAAGTCACTCGTTAAATAAACGGTCTGGCTCCAACCATTACCATGGCCATTTGTTCAAATTTGAATGACTAAAATATTATCTTGTAATCAGATTTCGTAGTTAGCTCTTAAAAATTACTGTTGTTCAAATGGAGATAGCGGTAGCATCAGATACGAAATTAAGTTTGCGGTCTATATTTCAATAGAGTCAACCAGATGTTACAAACTACAAGTGAAAGAATTATTATTATAACTTACATAAGCATTCTCCTCGAAATGGATAGAAACTAATTAATAAACAGTTCAAACATAACGTTCGATAAAAACTTGCATCCGATATCCATTGGGATCTCAGTGAAAACCAGTGAATCCATGGATGAACTGTAAGAAGGATGATTTGTATTCAAGCACACATTTTATAATATGGTAAAACAGAATAAAAGCGTTAATCCTTTAGAGCATTAGTTAAAGTTCCTATTTATTACACTAGTATGATGCAATAGAAAATTAACAAGAATGGTGACATATATGAGTGACTTATGCATCCTGAACTCCCATACTTTGAGAGGATATTCACTTGTTAGTAGCCTGGAAAAGAAACAGTTTCACTGACATGAGAAAAAAAAGAACCACTGATTGATACTGATCACAAACGATGACTTTCTGAGTGGTCATTTTAGCACAGTACGGAAAGATGGAATAACTATATTATGATTTACCACACTTGTCATTAGGTTTACCTTTTAGCTTTTACCAATCAGATGACCATTCTAATAATAATGGTTCATAATGAACACATTAGTGCATACATGGGACATGGTCAAAACCAATAATATGTTACTCAACAGATTCGACGAGAAGTTTTCAGGTAACAAACTCAAACATAATAATATACATGAGGCTTTTTCTATCTGACGTCAACTTAGAAAATTAGGTTGCATCTTCTTTTCATTCCCGAAGCAATAGTCATACATCTGGAAAAACCAGAATTGTGTATACAGAAGAGACTGGTACAACCTCTTCTTCTACCATGGTCTTAGTGTCTTATAATTTTTTTCCTCTTTCTTCATACTCTTCTTCCTTTACAGCCATCTGATTCATCTTTCATCTTCTCCCTAAATCTTCTCTCCCAACTGGTCTACTTCTGTTTCTACGTTCCTCCTGATTACATTTAATCTTAATTTCAACAATTTATCTTATCATGCTTAGCCACCCTGTCCCAATGATAATTTCCCTATCTATCTTTTGATGAATACTCAAGGCACTAACAATCAAACGATTATTAAACTTTCCTTGTTTTATAAAAAAAATTTTTAATACCTTTGTTTATTTTACCTCACTGTCACCATATCTAACAGAAGTTTATTATCAGTATTGTTTAGATAGAACAATGAGAAGACGGAGTTAGTCTGAAAAATGTGATGCATTTGCGCTACACATTTCGAACAACCTGGTCACACATATACTTGTCAGGGCATTTTATAAGAAAATTAATAAAGGTCAAGTATGTGTGACCAGATTGTTCGAAATGTATAGCGCAAATACATCATATTTTTTCAGATCAACTCTGTCTTCTCATTGTTCTATCGAAATTTATTAAATGAACTAATTGCTTTAAATCAGTATTATTATCATCCTGTAAAATAAGTATATAAACGTTTATGATTGTACGGCTTTGGAAATGAATTTGCCGAAAAGAGAACTCTTTTCGTTGAACTAATCTTTCTTATTTAATATCAGCGGTCTAATGGTAAAGCGCTCGTGCGCAAAACTGATAGCTTCTGGGTTTGAATCTCGCCAGCTAGGATCGTAGATACGCATTGATAAGGAGTCCCACAATAGGACGAGTTGCTCGTCCAGTGCTTCCAGGTTTTCCATGGTGGTAGTCTAGCTTCAATTGACTCATGATTTCAACTATTGAAATTTCTCATTTCACTTAGAAAACCACCTAACGGTGTGGTGAATAGAACACGGGTGAGAACAATCGAATGTATTTAACACGAAATTACAGGACTTGTTAATAAAATCTAACAATCATAAAGTAAATGCTTAATTTGCAAAATGTCCACCACTTGTCTCAAAATGACTCAGACTTCATTGTTCTTGCATGCTCATACCAATTGCATCCTGTTTCCATTCTTTACTATTCGATCCTTTTGTCTCTCTGCTGCCAGACCTGTTTACGACTAACATCATATACTACTTATGTCAATATAAGTAGCACACACCACAACGGAACAAAAAGAATTCCTTTTTTTCAACCGAAAACATTGATTTTGTATGATTTCATTTATTTTGTAAATCTTATTCATCTATAATTTACTTCAATGATTAAGATCATGAGTCGATTGAAACTAGACCACCATTGAAATTACTTATAATATATCCAGAAAACCCTTCTGATATAATTTCTTTATTCAATATGTTCTTTGAATCGGACGTGGGCTCTCCCTTCTATTCTACCAATGTAACTGCTTTGGCAGATATACGTAACATATTCCGAAGAGTTTAAGATGAAACAGACTAAAAACATTCAGCAGTGCCATCGCAAGATATCGCCTTGACATAGGACACGAAGTTGATATACTGAAGTCCTTCAGGGTGATTAAAGAACAATCAAACTCCAACCTTTTAAAATTTGCCGAGACATTAGCAATCAAACGTTTAAAACCAGATCTTTGTATACAAAAGGAGATAGTAATAAATCTTTCTTTACCCTGGTAACAATAACCCCCCTTCTTTATTCATTTATTTCTCTATTTATTTCTTACGTCATTACTCCAACTCTTTTAAATTACATCATACATAATTGACTGATTTCAATTCATATTTTCTTTATTACCATTAATCTATTTTCATGAGTTCTAATCAATATTTCAATGTTCTGGAACTTTCCCCCTCAAACTTTATTTATTCGAGACAAAATTTTATGACTTCATTAACTCTATCGGAATCTTCGCTACATCATGATACACATGTATTGATCCTTAATCACACTCTTATGTATAAATATGTCAATATCTCTAATAATTGAGATCATGAACCGATTGATGTTAGACCACCACAATTGGACAAAACGGCCGTCCAGTGCTTCCAGGTTTTCAATTGTGGTGGTCTAACATCAATCGGTTCATGATCTCAATCAAAAAACTTAATAATCTCCACAACCCCTATACTAGTAATCTGTAATAATGTTGAATTTCAAATAATTTAGGTTGTAAGCAGCTGATGAGAACTTGACGAAATAAAATGAATCCATTTATTATTCTGCACCAATCTTTGTTCTTTCTGTCATTAAGATAATAAAGGGAACTATGTGTATGAAATATATATATATAAAAGAAAATGCAAACCTACTAAGCATATGTTCAGCACATAACATTTCAGCATAAATCTCTTCAATTATTTTAAATAATGAAGGAATTTTCGAATAATCATTATCCATATTATTTATTGCTAATAATTGATGTTTTTTAGAATCAGTTAAATAGTGGCATATTTTAGGAATTGGATAAACTATACGTTCAATTCTATTGTCTTCACGTACGATCTATGTATATCATGAAATGATCAGGAGAAAGAAAAAAAAGTACAAAATGACAGTTGAAATAACATATTAAATTCTGATGACGACGTAATTCACTTGTAAAGTATAGATTTATGAAATTGGCTTTCAGTCACATTTTATATGTGAAGGTTATCCAATCGAGAGAAGAAGGGTTCAAAATTGAAAACTAATAATAGCAAATCAACAACTCTAAAGTCTAAACTACCATTCCATAAAATATGAGATATATCGATAAACGTTATGTGAACTACTGATACCTACCATCTTGAGAATCTTAATCATAAAGTTTGTCTCTCTCCAAATTGGTTAACTACCAATCTAATGTCGATTACTCATTCCTCATCTACGTTATTTAATATTAACATGTTTTTAAATACCAAGGAATGTTATTCTGGTGAATGTCCCAGAATAAGCCTTATTTGATCAATGAAATTAGGTACGAATTACACCAGTTAACTATGGTTTAGTCTAAATCCATAATAGTTTACTTAATATCTCAAGTAATCAAAGATGATAAATATGGAAATTTGTGTAAAACATAGTTACATTCAGAATTTTTTTAAAATTAGAAAGTACATGCGCTGGATCGACTTTAAATTCATGTCGCATTACATTAAGCAATCTCTAATTTGTGTTCCCTACCACCTCAGTTAAAGAAATGTCAGTATATATTTCAAATCAGAAGTTAGTAGCTTTAAATAATGATGTGCTTTATTGATCGCTCCAATTTCAACCTTCTGAGTCTTATTTAACATTTCACATTGTTGACCCACCACGCATACTACACAACTTAATTGTTCTAACCCACGTGAACGATGGTTTAAAAACAATAATGAATGAAACCACGAGTTCTTTTGACTTCTGACTTCTTTAAAGTATACACTAGAACACGGTTCACTGAAACAACATAAACGTAACTTTTGGCGACGAATTGTAAGATTGATCAATTTTATAAATATCATAATGAGAATTTTTGAAGACTGTAGCAACTTTTAACAGTTGAATCCATGAGTCAATCTAAGCCAGACCTGAGTTCGAATCCCGTGTGTGAAATCGTAGATGCATTGTGCTCAGAAGTTCCATATCGGGACAAAATGACCGCCCAATGCTTCTAGATTTCCAATGATGGTCTAGATTAGATTGATCCATGAATTCAATTATTAAAATTTTATAGCTGTTATATTTTTTTACAAGTGCTGAAATCAGTTCACATTTATAACAGTTCAAATTAGAAAGAACCAGTAAACAAAACAAAAACAATAGCTGGTCAATAAAAGTAAATAAAAGAATTTAATGTTTATCACATACCTCTATCTGTGCTGTATTAATGGTATAATGTTGAAGGCTTAAAATAATATCACTTTTACCCTTAATCAAACGTTTTATAATAGTGTTATTAAAATCCAACTTTCTTGTACCATTCAATGGAATATTGTTATGATCTGTACATTTCATTTCGTACAAACAATTTTTTCCTTCTGTAGTATTGTATGAATTTGATTCAGACCATTTGAAGCTTGATAATTGATTATTAATATGATGATCATGATTCTCAGATGTCTTCATATGTTTAAAAATTGCTGGGAAACACCTATACAACTATTATAATGAATAAGAATAAATATCAATGAATTATAATGATATGTACATTAATTATGTAAGCGTTATTAGCGGAAAATCACAGTAATTCTTTAAAGTTTAATACTAATCAAATTCTCTTAGTGATAGGATGTAATTCAATGTGAAACTATACTATGGTTCGTTGTTTTTATTGTCCGATTATATAGTCTGCATTCCATATCTCAGCGTATTAAAGCTGAAGCTTATTGATTCTTAAAATAAAATTCAACCGTTATCTGAACTGTAGATGAACTTTTCCGATAACACTTTTCTTTTGAAGTGAAAGTAACCTTTAGACTTCTTTTTTTCTTTCTTATTAACTAAGCCTATCCATTTCTCTTTCTCCTGCAGGTCGACTGGATCATGAAGACGTCAACAATTTGGGGAAGCATGGAATACAGTGGATTCTCCGATACAACACAACATGCACTAGTCAACTCACACTTGACATAGAAGCTTTGAAAGATGTAAAAACCTTTACATATCTGAGCAGCATCATTGATGAACATGGTGGATCTGATGCACATGTGAAAGCGCGGATTGGCAAAGCAAGAGCAGTATAGATACAACTGAAGAACATCTGGAACTAAAAGCAACTGTCAACCAACACCAAGGTCAGAATTTTCAATACAAATGTCAAGAGAGTTCTACTGTATGAGGCGGAAACTCGGAGAACTACGAAAGCCATCATCCAGAAGATACAACTGTTTATTAACAATTGTCTACGCAAAATAATTCGGATCGGTTGGTCAGACACTATTAGCAACAACCTACTATGTGAGAGAACAAACCAGATCCCAGTGGAAGAAGAAATCAGGAAGAAAGCTGGAAGTGGATAGGACACACATTGAGGAAAGCGCTCAACTGCACGACGAGGCAAGCCCTCACTTGGAACCCTCAGGGCCAAATGAGAAGAGGAAGACCATAGGACACATTACACCGAGAAATGGAGACAGACATGAGGAGAATGAACAAGAATTCAACAAAACTAAAAAGGAAGGTCCAGGACAAAGTTGGTTGGAGAATGCTGGTTGGCGGCCTATGCTCCATTAGGAGTAACAGACGTAAGTAAGTAAGTATGCTCACCACGTTTTGAGAATGGTCCATTAAATTTCGACTAAACGAATTCACGGGTTTGATTTCATGTACGATCATGGATATGTGTAAGTGATAAGTACAAAGCTAGTGAAAAAAAAACATGTTTTTTACTCTGGACGTTTTAAGCTGTTTTAATAAATGAGATCAATTTTTGATGAAAACTATGTCTACATTTTTAATGACTTTTTTAACACCTGTACAGAAATAGAGACGAGGCTTGACTACGGTCGATTCTCATACTTTTCTTTCTTTTACAAGACATAAACGTCGAAAATTGTCTCATGGTAATACTTTTCATATACCATAGGAGAAAATCTATTGACTTTTTGCAATAATCCTGTTATAATGCAATTTTAACATCTTCCCGATAAACAATTCGCATTCATTCAGCTATTTACTTTATTACATTTATCATACCATAGAAGAACAAAATGCTTAATCAGAGAAATTTTAACAAAAAAAGAAAACAAACAAACACTTACATATTGTGTCAATATAAATAACAAATGTCCGCATTTATGAAATGATTCACGTGGATGATTCGTTGCAAAATCTGAATCCTCTGACAAAATATGGTAATAATGAATTGTACTTATCTGTAATAAATATTAAAAGCGATGTATTACAAGCTTTGAACTACTTACTGAATATTAAAATGAAATCAACTCACAATGATGAAATCAATTCAACAAAGAAATAGAAGATAAATAAATTTTAGCAATAACATAGATCATAGGTCTTCAATTATACGTCAATATTTTGAAAACATATCCATTTTTCTATTGTACTAACTTTTGTTAATCCTCAATACAATGACCTACATATTAAACTCCATACTGACATCCTTGACTAATTACCTACTCCATACTTTCGTATATACTTGTCTCTTACAAAGTTAATCTGTAATCTGGGCTTGATACAAACTCATATTTGTTTATTTTTTATCGTCTCTTATTACATCCATAATAATTATCAGGATGTGAAGATATTCAATTTCCGTTGACCGGATGACATCAGCAACAGCCTACTGTGAGAGAGAACAAACCAACTTCCAACTGAAGAGGAAATTAGGAAAAGACGTTGGAAGTAGATAGGACATACATTAAGGGAATCACCAAACCTCATCACGAAGCAAGTCCCAAATCGGAATCGTAAAGAGAGACAAAAACGTGGAAGGCCAAAGAACACACTGAGTTGAGAATTGGAAGCAAACATGAAAAGGATGAATAGCAACTGGAAACAACTGGAAAGGATTGTCCAGGACAGAGTTGGATGGAGAATCCTGGCGGTTGGCCTATGCTCCTCCACAAGGGACAACAGCAGTAAATAAGTAAGTAATGCCAAAAAAATTCATCATAGGCTTGGTACCCACTTTACTGAATGTCATACAACCAAAGTCGAAAACTTTTCTCCCAACCATTGCGTACAAAATGAATCAGGAGTTTACACAAAGAATTTCGATTTAAATAAATTATCTTAAAAATCTTCTTGAAGAAACAAACTCATGCACAAAATAAAATATCAAAGACATTACCAGCTCTCAAGGTATCTCTATTGCTATATACACATTATGATCAAAATTTAATGAACGACAATCTACAAGATAAACTAACAAAAGCTGTTATAAGTTGTCTTCAGTCAGTCTTGGTTTCACATTCTTTAATCGATCAATAATGACCACTCAGAGAAAAAAGACGTTAGATAATCTCAGTGGATGTTCGTTAATCCAGTTGCTCCTTTGACAATAACTAGGCCAGGTATCTTACCAGAAAAGTTACCTAACTTTCTATCTCTCTTCTTTACAAGCATTGAAATGACATTACTTATCTGCAGTATTAGAATGTGTTTGTAATTTATCAAACTATTTTTATCATTCCCCATGATATTTCTTATTGTTTAACCATAAGTCTGACGATTTATATAATTTCAATCATTAACTTATGTAACAGAATAAAGTTTATGAAGGGTTTGACTAGAAATTGGATTTTCGCCTTTATATTCTTGTTTTTAAAACAAAACTATGTACATATAAAAAATTAATATCCTTCAAAGAAAACAGTACTCAAACTTAAGAGTTCAAAGAACTTACTAACTTATCTAATGGACAGAGTTCAATTAGTTGTTGATAAACTTTATCTTCATGGCGACCTTCCAACACAGCTAACAGTAGCTTAATTGACAAACACTAGATTAGTAAAATGACACGGCATAGAATTTTTATTAATCATAATTAACAATGAAAGTAAATTAATAGCATGTTAAAAAATATCCCTTTGATTACTAGAGTTTCAATTCTTTCTTCTAATGTTCACTAATAGAAAATGAACTGGAATTAAACAAAAAAACTATTTACTAGGATATATTTAAACTGTAGTTCACTGGTTAAATCACTACTTTCACCTCAAAGTGAGGTTTGAGATACACACCAAATACATACACTTAGGTACCCTGGTATCTCTCATATAAATGAATAAGAAGGTAGACCCAGGTTTGAATGCAGTAGATAACATTGGTTCCCTCCCGACTAAAGGTATGACTTGCTGATGAGTACGAACTAACATTAAAGTCCATGCTTTTTGTCAAGAACATCCAACTACTTAGCAAATCCAAACCAAATCAATTCCATTAATCTAAAACGTATTAAATATTTGCCTTGTATTACATACAGTCACAAAATAGTTTAGAAATACATTTATACAACGAAGCAAGTCAATCACTTCATGTTAGTGACAACAAGCTATTCGCTTACAAAATATCATGATTCCATGAAAACCGTCAATTTTTCATACTCATTTGTCATTTGTTAATTGAATTTAACTGCATATAAATGTCAATGTTCACGTTGAAACTCGAATTTCATGCTTTTCACTCCAAACACCTGAGTATTATTCACTGAGCTATCAATTTCAAACGGTTATTAACTTGTTCAATGGGTGCAATACTTATATTCGAACTTCTAGTCACAATGAGATATTACCGGAATGTTTGAGATTCAAGGATCTAAACGGATAATCAATACATAAGACTGTACTATAAGTTAGATTTCAAAGAAACATTAACATTAGAAACAACTTACGCTAATTTCAGCAAGTGAACATGTTATATCTTCAAGTTTATTATTTCTAATCCATTTTGGTGTACACAATATTAAGTTTACTAGTAAGTGTAAAATATTCGGACTTCCGAATAAAATTTCATTTTGATTATTCAAACAAGGACCGTGACAAAATTCAATTAGACAAGTCAAAATAAGTATTATAATTTCAGGTTGAATAAAATGCACTGAATTATTTTTTTGAATTTGTACACTTTGTTGATTGTGATTCATTTCAAGGAATAATGACTTATTAAATTTTCTTTGATATATCATTATTGGCTCCATAATGTTCATATTATTCTGTACAATTTTCAAGGGACTGTTTTCCGTACTGTTGAAACATTTCTGTTTACTATGTGGTGTTTTATGATTAATATAACAATAGTTCAGAGTATCATTATTATTACTATCATTAGTATGATTGTTTTTGTTGTTACTGTCAAAGGTAGCAGCATTAATTAACTTATCATTTATTTTCCACAAATTAATAAATAACGACTTGATTTCTTCAATTAAATTGAAATTTGTCACATTATGTGGTTGAACACGCAAAAGTTCCTAGTTAGATTAACATGAGAAACAATTATTGTTTAGTTATTGTATAGAATGAAGTAACTCAGAATATATAATTAAAGTAGTTATATTTAACTAATGATCATGTAGTAAACAACCTTCACTTCCGATTGAGATCTTATACAAATGTTGATAATGGTATCGTCAAAACAATACATAGTTCCATTCTATCACACTTAATCGATAGCGGTCAAGTAGTAGATAAAAAGAAGTCATTTAAAATGAATCACCGTATTCTTACTAGTTTTCCTTATGGAGTTTGATCTCATCACTCACATATACCAGAAGATACAATAATTCGAGCTAACAATCCAAGTCTTTTCACTAATAAGAAATTTGTAACACATTTATCTATTCCTTGACCAAATTAGCCTTAATAAACTATTTACTTATAATCAGAAGGGGGTTGTGGAGATTTAACAAATTTCACAGATTGAAATCATGAGTCAATTGAAGCTAGATCATCATGGAAAACCTGGAAGCAATGGACGGCCGTTTCGTTCTAGTATGGGACTCCTCAGCAGTGCGCATCCACGATCCCGCACCCCGCGAGATTCAAACCCAAGACTTATCAGTCTAAAATCTCCACAAACCCCTTCTGATAATAATCATCTGCTCATTAGCGACTGACTTCAAGAGATACTCGTGGAGTTCTAGTGAGAAGTCGTTACCAGTGGAGTTCAACCAGGTCTGTTGTGAGGTATCAGCTCACTGAAGAAAATGGTATACGGTGGCGCAAATCGTGGATTGGTTGAAGTTAGACATTAACACCGTTGGATGCCGGCTCAGTGGTCTAGTTGGTTAGGCGCTTGGCGCGAGACTGATAGGTCATGTGTTCGAATCTCGCGGGGTGCGGGGTCGTGGATGCTCACTGCTGGGGAGTCCCACACTAGGACGAAACGGCCGTCCAGTAGTTACTCATAACACAATTATTTGAAGAATATTATTCTCAATAATTTCTCATCAGGTTCTACAATTATATATTCAAATTATTAATCCATAAAATTGGTCAGATTTTAGGCAGAGTACATCATTTAAAATAATAACATGTGAATTAAAGATTGTTTGTAATATAAAATCAAATCAGAATGACGGTGTGTGGAAATTGTAGTAATTTAATAGTTAAATTCATCCGTAGATCTAAGATGGACCACCATTAAAATCCGAAAGCACTAGATGGCCGTTTCGTCCTAGTGTGGGACTCCCCAGCAGTGAGCATCCACGATCCCGCATGTGAGTCTCGAACGTTGGGTCCTAGGGTCTCGCGCACGAACGCTTAACCTTTAGACCACTGAGCCGACATCCAAAGGTGTTATTGTCTAGCTTCAACCAATCCACGATATTGTGCGACCGTGCAATGCTAAGCAGTCCCATACTAGGACGAAAAGGCCATCCAGTGCTTCCAGGTTTTCAATGGTGCTCTAGCCTTAATTGACTCATGAATTCAACTATTAAATATTATTATTTTCCACACTCTTCGTATGTTTATTATTCTCCATCTCCTTTTTGTCTCTTTTAAAATGTATGCTTCAGTTGCAAACTACCTGACACACTTCTTATTACGTAATCGTATAATTTTTCTGTGAATGTTATTTCAGTGACTACATAATTTTCAAGTCACTGACCTATCTCATATTATTAAACATTATATTCAACTTGGTATTGCTTGGCTTGTATCTTCCCATTGAGGCTTAAGAATAGTACTGGGTTCGAGTCCCAGAGTGAACATCAGCTCTGAGATGCAGGTACATCCAGCTGACGAGTCTCAAATAGGACGAAACGCGCGCCCTGGATTCCAATGCCAGTCACTATCCATCATTGCGTACAATTATATTCAATTTTTATCATTGTTATCACAACTACTACACTCAACATCCTATTATCAACTTGTACTTTCCACTTATGTTTATTTATGTAATCTATTCCACTATTATCATTGACTCATAAACTGCTTTGTTTCATTTAATAATTTCATAAATACATTACTGTATATTAAAGTGAAGCCTAATGAAGATCTAAATGAAAACAGTATTGTTCACTGATTTGTATTATTCTATTTCATAATATGAGAAATTTTAAACAAATCCAATTGTGAACTAAATAGTCATAAAAATTACCTGAAGTCTTAAATTGTTTCTACGACATAAAGTTTGTAAAAATTGTAAACTTATCTGTACTGATATATTCTTGCCAGTTATTAATGAATTGAAACAATCTAAAATAAACAAAAGGTCAATGATGAATAACTTAAAAGCATTTCACAGATTGAAATCATGAGTCAGTTGAAGCTAGACCATCATGGAAAACCTGGAAGCACTGGACGGCCGTTTCGTTCTAGTACGGTACTCCTCATCAGTGTGCATCCACGATCCCGCACCCCGCGAGATTCGAACCCAGGACCTACTAGTCTCGTGCTGTGGAGTCCCATACTAGGACGAAATTGCCATCCAGTGCTTCCAGGTTTTCCATGGTGGTCTAGCTTCGATTGACTCATGATTTCAATTTATGAAATTTCTAAGATCTCCACAAACCCCTTCTGATTAAAATCATTTATTAATGGTTACGTAATATATTTTGTCTTGATATGAATTAAAAACCATTTTGTATAAACGGAATATAATCGTTCTGAATTCAATCAATTCTACTACAGTAATATTTCATTCTGTCCTGAATCTTACGGTAAAAATATTTGCTAAACTTCTTACCTAATGGAACTAGTAGTAATCAAACTATCTGAGCATTAATTAAAAGTTAGGACTGCATAACTTCACGAGTAAGTTATATAAATTTTTAAAAAAATACACTGTAACAAATGTTAACAGTTCAATACTTAACGGTTTGATTAACTAATGCTAATTTGTTCTTGAAATTCTTGATTTTCTTCAAGTTTCCAAAATCATTCAAACTGAGAAGTAACAACAAGCATCAATGTTATATCTAGAGCTTATATTCTTGATATGCCGCGTATAACTTCATCACTTGAACGCTAGAACCCTTCCAAGTCACAAATGAGAAGACAGAAGACAAGTGAAAGGAACGTTATTCTAGACAATGTCAAATTATAGTACAAAACTGTCAGGTATTTATAGTTTTTAGGAAAAACGTAATCATCATTATAGCTATCCAATCCGCATACGGGAAGTTATTAGCATTGTCCTATCGAAAGGCTACACGTAGAGGTTTTAGAATATTCTTCCAAAAAGTGATTAAATGGAATATCTTCGCCTATTTCTGAGCTTCATACAGCTTCCTCGAGTTTATCCTCGAGGACCGTCCTCACAATCAACATCACTGTTTTCATCTTAAGCTTCTAGACAAAACTGTATTACATAGTGAGAAAAACTAGTAGCATCAGTGACTAAAAAGTTAGTAATATAATCTGAATAAAGTCAGGTGAAAATGTTTAAAAAATGCGTATTTATACGAGAGAACAAAATTTCATTAACTACTAAAATTAAGAATATCAAACTAACCTAAATAATTTGTAGTTCTTGTAAATTCTTCTTTACAAAAGAATCTATTTTTTGTTAAGTTATCCATTTGACTATAAGCATTATGAAGACGTTGAAACATAGAATTGAAGAAATCTTCATGTTGTTTAGGTTTCGACAGAATAATATAGAAACATTCCTGTATTAAAATAATATAGATATTAAACAGTCATTTATGAACTAAACGTCTATACTATTTCATGAAAAGAAAGTGAACTCTTATTCAAGTACATATTTGTGTATTCAGTTTTGAACTAACCTTATGTATATAAAGTAAATTTGATAAAAGCGGATACAGGTTTTTGCAGTCAGATTTAACTCATACAATTTGTTTATGAGTTGCCTAGACTGGAGTGCACAGAGCTGAGGTTCAAACGTTTTATCTATCGATTCCAAACACAGTTGATTACTCACCAAATCATTGTTACACAATCACAATATTGATACAGCTTAATCTTTGCAGACAGATGATGAATCTAAAGGTACTTTTCATTAGTCTGAAAACTTTTAGAAGCCATAAAATGTCAGATGAGTATATATTAGTTTAGTTTCTAAACACCTCGGTAACAAAGATGTTTTATTTTCACATGGAATCAAATTCTGCTGCATGTCAAATCTTAATTGCTAACTTGAAATGAATAGTCTACACTGATCAACAGTGGAACATATAAGTTCCAATTCCTATTTTAGATTTCATAGAAGATTTTTTCAAAAAAGAACCTGAAATTTCAGTGAGAGAGATTTCACGCGAGTTTTTTTTAATAATCTAATGTAATCTGATGGATTGGAATTTGTCACCAATACTTTATATTTCAAATAAGATACTTAGTTGCAATAACATATTTCAGCTTATAAAACGTATCATTTACTTTATACAATTGATTGCAAAACTTGTCTAATATAAAATTGATGAAGTGTAATCAAATACGAATCTCTTATCTACTAGCTAACCAGCTAACGGGAAATTGAGAACTAAATTGAAGTCAAGCATCACATATTAGTAGATCAACCAAGAACACTACTGTTCAGGCACCTCGAGCCGACGAGTTAAAATAAAGATGAAATAAGCTACTTGAATTTCACTAGTACACACAAATCAAATAGAATGAAAACTTGTAATTGAAAAAAATATAGAGGTACTTTTGCTAAGTGAGACAGATCAGTTATAATTCCTACTAATAATATCTGAGAGAAAATTCCAAACCTTAACAATAAACAAAATTAATATCATTACATTAAGCGATTTGCGGGGAATATTCAATTTGAAAACTAGTTTATATCATGGACTGACGTTTTGCTAAATATTCAGGCAAGCTGTGATGGACTGAGTTATAATATTTTAGGGGTGAAACAATTATTAACCATGAAATGGAATAATGATAGATCAATATCTCGAACTGTGATTGGAAATGTGAAGCAATGGGTACTAACTACGTCATTTAGATGTGTCAAAAAACTGAGAGACTTTGGTTGAAACTTTGTCTAGGTCATCGGTAAGTTCTAACAAGGAGGACCATATTAAAATAAACCAACTGTTCAGTGGTCTTCTGTTTCCAATGGTTGTTTACCTGAATTCAGTCTGTAGCTTGAACTGACTTCACTATCAACATTGAAATACAGATAGTTGATTTACTCAGAATATGGATATTTTGAGAAATGTATTATTTGAAGTAACGAACATCGTTTGTCACATGACTTTACTAAATGTAATTGACAGATATTTTAACCGGTACGGTATTTTTTTAGCTAAACGGTTATCAGAACAATGCAAAGAAATATAATTATTCTTAATAGTTGGCTTTCACTAATTTCCACAACTGTTTTCACATAACTAATAATAAATTTAGAACAACATAGATATAAGCGAACAATATTGTTTTCGATTAGATCTTCATCAGGCTTTACTCTAATATCCAGTAATGTATTTATATGCATATACGAATTATTAAACCAATCAAGGTAGTTTATAAGTCAATGAGTAACAATGAAAACGATTACATAATAAGTAAAATGTGAAAAGTACAAATTGATGGTGTGACAACAGGTGCATTAGTTTTGATAAGCAATAATAATAAAGGTTCAAACCAATGTTACATAATCGGAAATAGGTCAGTGATTAGAAAAATATAGAAACTGAGATAACAATTATAAAATTATAAGATGACGTAATAAGAAATGTTCAGATAATTGGACCATGAAACGTATAGTTGAGAGAAAATAAAGTGGTAGGAGGGGGTGAAGAAAAATAACAAACGAAGAGAAAGTTAGAAAAATAATAAGTCCATTTATTACTTAAGGCCAGGGGAGAGATAAAGGTGTTACAAATTTCTTCTGAACACAAAGACTTGGCTTGTTGGCTCGGATTCCTATAGCTTCTGCTATGTGTAAGAGACGAGATAGAGCACCATAAGGAAAACTAGTGGGAATACGATAAACAACTTTGAACGACTTGCTTCTGTCCACTATATGACCGCTATCGATCAAGTATGATAGAACCGAGCTGCGTATTGTTTTAGCGCAACCTTTTCCTAACCTTGAAGGGAGGTGTTCACTAACTCGTTGGTTCAGTTGCCTGGTAGTGCGCCCAATATCGCTTTCTCCACAGGAGCAGCTGAATTCGTAGATACACATAGAAGTGGGATAACCAGGTAACTTATCTTTCAGTTGCGGAATCACCATTGATCGGGTCGAATACTTGTTTCTGTAATCTATCCCATTGTTATCATCATTGACTCATAAAATACCTTGATTAGTTTAATAATTTCATATATGCATATAAACACATTACTGTATATTAGAGTAAAGCCTGATGAGGATCTAATCGAAAACAATATTGTTCGCTTATATCTATGTTGTTCTAAATTCACAATATGAGATTATTTCAAATTTTTATTAATAAATTACCTGTACATATTTATTACTGTGCTTTAAAAGGTTAATTGCCAACTCATTTGCCATGACAAAAATCGTTTCAGAAGTATTAGGATTTTCTATACATCGTATAATCAGATCACAAATTCCATTTGAACATAAAAAATAATGTATGGCATTTTGACCAGTATTCGATAATCCATCTAAACTCCATTTCATTTCTAATGGTACAGACTAAATGGTATACGAGATTTTAAAAAATCATTTCAGTTAAAAGGAGATTTAAAACGAAAATCAGAAGTTTTGCCACTAAAACATCGGTTTCGCCACTGAAATTTTGAAATGATTGCTAGTCGACAAAAACCAGAGTTAATTTGTTACTAGGTAGTTGGATTAAATCACCAAATAATCAGGAATCTGGGTTTCATGTTACCTAGCATTTAATGTCAAAGCGTTTCTATAGTATTAAGTGAATGAATTCGCACCGTAAGACTCTAACCAACGTCACGCATTGTAGTAGTCTAAGAAGTTACTATTAAATAGTCAGTCAGTCAATAATAACGTAGAACTTCGTGCGTACGTACATCAGTTCGAGTTGCCACACCACATTAGCACAGAAATGCAGTGGTCGATTTAAATCCTATAGTGATAGAGGCGGTAAGAGTATAAGCAGTAGTCGGAAAGATTGGAGTTTGAAGATGTTATTTTGAGAGTATAATCCAGTGAAGTAAATTTGGAAAGAGAAAAAAGATACAAGGAGGATTCAGGAGATTAAAATTTGGGAGAACACAAAGAGTGGATGCACCTGCTCCATTGCAAACGCTTTTGAGCCATGTCATTCAGGGTCTCTAACCATCGGTTGCTATCATCTCGCGGTCCCCAACCAGGTAGTCTACATCTACAAACATGACTCAGTCCACTTGTCAGTGAATTCATGAACTTGTGCCATGTTTTGGTCTGGCCGCCCCTACCTTTCTTCCAATCTACACCATTAAATAAATAAAGCTCCGACTAATGTCCTGTAGAACTCAAAGGTTTACACTAATTGACCACAGCAAGTGATCAGTGCCATGTTCATGTATTACTTAATCCTGATCGACAGATTTCTATCAGTAATAATAATATGATATTATTATTTGTATTGCTTTTAAGAGCATTTGACCATAAATCCACAATCGAAACAATGTTTTCTTTTTGATAATATTTAAGAAGTATTTTCAAAAAGTCAAAACTCTTTGGAACTATATTACCATAAAATATTCACCCTATGATTTACAAAAATATATGTAAGCTACATGGTTGGATAAGATATGTAAATATCTTTGCTTTAACCTCTTTTTATCAATCAGATTTTATTACTTAACAAGTTCACTCCCTAACGACATGTCGTATCTTGAATGATGGGCTTAGCAACTGGTGTATCTGTGTAAATAATTATTGAGGCAGTTAATAGAGCTTTTAGATTCAAGAAGAAAGAGTATATGGAATTTAGATAAATTGGAAAAATATTTAATTGACATTAGCAAGCATTACTCCATTTCCAATCTCATCGGAGATGAACTGTTGGAAAACTCAGTAAATTATAAACTTACAAAATCCACAACGTTGTCAACTACTAATCAAGATCATATTTCAGGTGTCTATTAAAAGAGGGTTAAAATTAAAAGCATTTAAAGAAAGCGGTCTTATAAAATTATTTCTACATAACAGACAAATAAAAATTAAAACAACAAGCGTTCAAAACAAAAAGAAATTAAAAGATGTTTATTAATAGCTTTCACCTACCTCCAACATAGGTGCTTTAGATAAGGAAATGAAAACTTGTAAAAGCTTAATGAATTGACTTTCTAAACCTAATTCAATCAAATCATATGCATGTTGCACCAATCTGAAAAAGTAAGGAAAAAAAGAATTCAGATTGAAAGTACTGTAAAGGTTGTTCTGTTCAAGTCTTAGACTCCTCTCAGCCCACAATTACAACTTCATAAAACTTCAAACTCAGCACCTATAAGTCTGACTTTTAGATCAGTGATCTGATACATCATGATTCATATTTCGAACTTCAACTGATTTGAGATATAATATGACGACTACACATTACCATAGATAATATTTGTACTCGACAGCTGAAGCCCTCTCTCATAGTAAAATGTCGAGAAATTCAATTTTCAGTTTTTCATTCGTATAATGGATGATTGTTACATATCAAGATGTGGGAATTTGTGAAAATGTTTTGAAACTCAAGTTAGTTTTCGTAATGAACTAACATCATCTGCAGAATCACTGAAAACCTATAAGAGCTTAGGAGCTGTTGAATAGATCACAATAATTCACTTAACTAAAAAAACGTTAGAAACTCGGTATTAATTATATCTAGTTCAGAATTTACTATAACACAAGGTCGCTTAACATTACTAAGCTGAATTCCGAAAAACGTTGTGTAACTTGAGCATATATATATATATATATATATATATATATATATAACTAAAGTACAGTGTTTCAATAGTTATTGACCCGATTTCAATTTAAAACGAAAAGGCAACTAAGCATAAATTGTCTGATTCTCAATTACTAAATTCGAATTGAATTTCCAAACGTTTTTGTTGCATAGTGTAAACAGTAGTTTTTTCTTCTTTTTTTTTCTGATGAAGGCATAAAGTAATTGTCACAAGTCAGGTATTTTGTAAAAATTTACAAAAAGTAAAATCCTAAAATCATATTCAATGTTCAATGAATCTCTTCAATTGAATGCACATCTACACTGAAATAATTTCTTTCTTTTCGGTATAAATGAAATTAATATCAGATGAGTTTTGTGGATATTATAGTAATTTCAATGGTTAAGGTCATGAGTCAGTTGAAGCTAGACCCCCATGCAAAACCTGAAAGCACTGGACGGCTGTTTCGTCTTATTGTGGGACTCTTCAGCAGTGCGCATCCACGACCTCGCCCACTGCGTGATTCGAACCCAGGACCTACTGGTCTCGCGCGCGAGCACTTAACCACTAGACCACTGAAATGGCCGTCGTCCAACGGTGTTAATGTCTAACTTCAACTAAACCACAAAATTGAGCGAAACATCCACCGTTGTCTTCAACGAGTTACTATCTCACAACAGACCTGGTTGAACTTCACTGATCACTACTTCTCACTTGAACTCCAGGATATACATCTTGAGGCCAGTCACTAATGAGCATATGTTGATTAATATCAGATGGGTTTTGTGGATACTGCTTACTTTGAAAGATAAAGAGCTAAGAAGTGATTACTTCAATGAAAACATTGAAGTAATTATCCAACTTCAACATGGTAATAAAACCCCTAAACTGATAATTAACATGTGCTCACTAGTGACTAGCTTCATGAGAAAATTCTGGTGAGAAGCCTTGACCAGTGGAGCTAATCCTTGTCGGGTAGAAACAGGTGTCTACCTCAGAACAATGGAAGATGGTGGCGCAATTTCGTGGATTGGTTGAGGTTAGACATTAACACTATTGGATGCCGATCAGCTCAGTGGTCCAGTAGGTTAAGCGTTCGCGCGTGAGACTGAAGGCCCCGTGTTCGGATCCCGAGAGCGGGATCGTGGATGCGCACTGCTGTGGAGTCCCACAATAGGACGAAACAGCCGTCCAGTGCTTCCAGGTTTCCAAAGATGGTGGTCTAACATCAATCGGTTCATGATCTCAATCAAAAACTTAACAATCTCCACAACCCCTAAACTGATAAAACAATACTAGTTTTGTAGATAAAGTTTTAAAAAAGAATTGTATTTTAAATAAAATATTAACAACATACGAGGCTATAAATGAATTATATGAAAAATCATCACTTTTAACTAATGTTGATATTTCTTGTATTTCAATGAAATTCATTGGATATTGTAGAAATCGAATTAATGAATCATATTCTTTATAAATGGATGTACTAAGTTGAAGTTCAATTTCTTTAATCATATTCTATAAGTTAGAAAAAGCAATTAATATCATAAAATTATACTTTCAAGATAAAATGAAAATGGTTAAAGTGGAACAAATATAAGCAGTTGATGTTTAACGAACCGTTGAATGACATGTTGTAACAAAGTAAGTAGTAGAGTTAAATCATATTATCCGTAAACCAGGTATAAATAATGGTCGAACAATTTTGTGAATAAAGTTGAAAATAGAACCTTTTATATACCAACTCTGTTGTCTAAATGTAATGAACCTACTGTGAAGTTTGGTGGTCTTAGGTTTGATCCTTGGAGAAATTGTGGAAGGGGCAATGTTAAGAAGTTCTTAACGAGGATATATTTATTTATTTACTTATTTATTTGAACACATAGATACAGGTACAAAGGGGAACCGAATACATATGCGTCGCACAAGTTATTTGATTTTTAAATGGGCTGTGCTACTGCTTGGGTGCCCAGACCGAAGCAGATGGTCTACTTAGCGGGCCACAGCCAGAGTTCTCGACCTAAGGGTCTGATCCACAAGGCAGTGGAGCAACGTTAGGAGATACAGTCCCATGGTAGCGGGTGACCAATAATTGGTTCGTACGCCATTTGTTCCTTTAGGATCCTGGAGCTGATATGCATCTTGGTTTGGAATGGTGGTGTTCCAACTCCCCTAGATGGATCCCCTAAACCCACCTACCTGCTTGAAACGCCGGGCATTCACTTTTTTTCCTCTTAATGTCGTAAACACCTCGAGAAGATAGTGAGTAGCACTTCCGTGGGAGTGGCTGTATACGCGTGTCTATGTGGAAGCATTTCAAGAGGGAGAGGACTCTCCTCACTCTTGGCCGTACCGAGGCATTTAGAGGATAAAACAATTTCTCAATGATTCTCGGTTTTAATTTCCGTTCGGTCAATATCAATTCATGATTAAAAAATTTCTTTACAGTTCAAAAGTGTTTTATATAAGATTCTGACTTGTTATTCCTGATTGTTATGTGTTAAATGAATAACCAAAGTTCTATAAGCTGCGAACATGAAGAAACACAATGCATGTTTAGAGGGTTATGAATGAATACAACGATTGTTTTATGTCTCTTTAATTCACAATTTTAATTGTTACTGATTCAAGAAAATCATACAACAACAAGAAACAAACTTTCCCATTAAAATACAGTAAATCATATGGAGAGGGACAAATTATCAGTAAGTTGAACAACGTTGAAGAACTTCTAACTCCCAGGGCAGAATTTAGATGGTTTGAATTGTTTTTTCTGATTAGCGTTTTTTTAGCGAATCAGTTTTCTACGGGATGGGGTTGCTAACTCAATGCGCAACCCTCCTCCATTATTCGGGCTTGGGACTGGCACTAGATATTCGATAATCGGATGTTAATAAAAATTTAAAAATCTATATACTGTTATAAGATAAATAAAATCGGAGAACTATACATTACAAACAAGCATTATTTTATTTAATTCGCTTACATTGAACTGCTTTTCTATATTCTTCGCAAAGTTTTGAGATATTGATCGATCTGCATCATCCAGTGTTTGACTCATTTGAACTTCACTCAACTCTTACTCATCTGACATTGTTGGACGGTTTTAACATTGACTTTTTCAGACATATTTGAATCGAGTGAATTTTCATCCTGCAATCCACTATCTATCGAGTCATCAGATGTAATATCACTTGTAGAAATGATTTTGTCTTCAAGTGTTTTACATAAATCTGTATAAGAATTTGTCATAAAAATGTCCGGTTTGTAGGAGAATTCTGGTGAAACCGGAAGACTTGCTGAAGGAACTGAAATATTTTGAATAAAAAATCATTCTTATCAACGTGAGTAAAGCAATGAGACTGGGTTGATTGTGTTTTGTGCAAAATAATGGTTCAAAATAGTATGATTTTCAATTTCCAACTAGTGAAGATGTTGTGGAGATGGTTAATGTAGACTTAACTTGTGAATAATGTCTTTATTATTTATATTTTTCACGCTTTCATTTAATTTGTATAATCACTGGTTATAAGCTGTTGATTAAAAGGTCTGAATCTGATTCACTATTTTCAGTTCACACTGATCATCGTTCTTTAAATATACGTGCTGCATATACACTACATCCTGTTCTTTGTCAGGTTGCTGCCACATTAATAGGTTTTCAATAAACCTCTTACGTACATTTGAAGATTGTGATTCTCTACTCCACCTGGGCCAATCATACCTCATTGTCTTTGACTGCATTCCATATTTTGGAATTACTACATCATTATCATATTTGTAGACTTACTCTGGGACCCATTTGGCAAGCAACCATTGATCGTTCCAAATTAACTTACGTAAAACGTATATATACATGTTTTTCGTACACTAGTATATCAAGACGTGTAACAAATGTAAAATTTCCCACAGTGTCAATCATGAAGTAATCTTACCTCGACTATTGTTAGAAACCTAACAGCTCTGTATACGTATTTCGTTCTAGTATAGAACTGTTGATAAGTACATGTCCACGTCCCCATCACAGAAGATAGGACTCGTAACGTCTTGCCTTCACACGCGAACATTTGTAAGTTTTCTATTGAATAATATCACTAGTATTTAAATATTTGCATTTCCGTCTACTATAAAGTATACCGATATAGGATTCGAGATTACAGAAGTTACTGTAACTTTTACAGATCTTTCGGTGTACTCAATAAGTAATGCCCACTTATCTGACAAAATCAGGCGAAAGTTACACTCTAGTGAAAATCACAATTTACTAGTGAAAAAAGTATATTAACCACCTTCCCTTGACCATTTCTCCTCCTTTTTTTACTCCCTTTCAGATACCTTTCACTTTATTTTCATAGATTTGTTTTTATTTGTAACTTATAGCGCTATAAAGTAATATAACATTAATTGTTTCACCGATGAACTTCGGATACAATGTAAAATTAGACTATAAGACGTAAAGATTTTTTAGTTCTATGAATCTTACAAACTTGTGAATATTTCCCATCCCCAGTAGTTTTTAAATACTTACATAGCTTCGATATCCTTCTGAAGTGTACAGTGTATTTTTGTCACACAGAAACTTAAATAAGTATCAAGTAGTCAAATGTTTGAGTTCAGAGAAACGAAAAATATTGGTAAAAAATAAATCACTGAAATCATTAATTTGATTTAATTTAAATTACCAATCAACTACATCGTAATATAATCGGCTTTGAACTATAAAATTTTAAAACATAACTAATATGAACAAAGAATATTCACTTCAATGAATTTCTCATCAGATACTCTACAATGATCTCATATCCAAATTAATAATCCATAAAATTGATCAGATTTAAGGCAGAGTGAATCAACGATTGTTGTCTGTCATATAAAATCAAATCAAATCGTTAATGTTGGGGGCTGACCAATATGAAGTTGTTAACTTGAATAAGTTTATAAGTGAAATGAAATTGTGGAATAAATAATGATCAGAATAAATATGATCACAATCGATTGATCACTGGGTGGTGATCAATGTCATGCTTGTCTAGTCCTTATTAGTGCAGATCGAATGCTATCGATCATGTTGCAATGTGGCCACCAGTCTAGGTGACTCGACACTGCGGGCACTATGTATTGAGATTTAGATGGTGGTTGGAGGTAGTTAACAGGAAACCCTGGACCCGGGTTTCGTGCTACTTGGCACTCGTCAGCAAGTTGTACCTGTAATCTTGAGGGAACTGGTGCTCCCTGGCGGATCGATCTCGTGTCACCCAGCTTCACAGTCAGAGACGTTACCACTGAGCTATCCGAGCCGTGACTAACCTCCTGTAGGACTGAGATGTAATCACCACTTCCCTCAAGATTATAGGTACACCTTGCTGACGAGTGCCAAGTAGCACGAAACCCGGGTCCAGGGTTTCCTGTTGACTACCTCCAACCACCATCTAAAAAATATGGTCAACATGAGGTGGAAGAGAGAGAGAGAATAATGTAATTACAAATTAGAAATTACGTAATACGTAGAATAATATGAATTAGGTCAGATATAGTAGATAGGGGTGAATGCTGAATAAATTTATCAAAAAGGGTTATCAAATGTAATAATGATAATAATGACAATGGTAAGATGTATGGACATAAAAATGGGCATTAATCGAATTACGTCATCATATTATGAAATTGATTATTAACTAGTTGACCCCGAACTTGGCCAGGATAAAAGGAGCAGCTGAACATATTTCTTTTTGATACAAAGCTTTGGTTTTTTTATCCGAATAGTGATTGCTTCAGCCGTCTGTAGGATTCGCAGTCTGACGAAATCAGGTAGATTGCTGTGAATGCGATAGATTATTGCAAAAGATTGCTCCATGTTGGCTGTATGCCCCGTCTGAATTAAATGGGTTAAAATGGAGCTGTTAACCGTTTTGACAACACCTTTCCTTAATCATACTGCAAGGTGCTCACGAGCCCGAATTTACAAATTCCTAAAACATCTGTCAATATAACTTGCTTCACAGGAGCATTTGAATTGATAGATACAAAGGAAGTAGCTAATCTAGGTAATTTATCTTTCAACTTCAGAGCGATTATTGGTCGTGTGG